GAATCTTCAGATTAAACTGTCTTTACAGCTCCCCACAGCTCATATAATATTCTCTCTAAAAAACCCACAAGTTCCTGAAATTTCCTAACGTATTTGCAAATAGAACAAAAAGTATTGATGTCATTTCACGTAGTCATATTAATACCAAATATAGCATATTGATTTTAATTTCTTGAAAAACATAAAGTAAATGGATTTTTCTAATCATACATCACAGATAAGTACTCTACACAACAACTTTAGAAATCAATGAAAAATCAGCTACAGTCTGATCTACACGAAGTAAAGTTGTGACAAATATTAAAAAAATGATACTCCTGCCTTCATAGATTGCATTAGACAGATACATAAAATATGTTTTTTGGTATAAACTGGTACAGCATCAAAATAGGTTAAAATTAATCTATTTTTAATGCTGCTGCTGAAAATAAAGGCCTCTGGCTCCCCTGCCTGCACATTCCCACCGCTGGCAACAGCGAAGTAACTTTGGGATTGGAAAACTGAACTGGCTGATAAACAGTTCAGAAGGAAGGAAAAAAATCCAAACCTAAACAGTAACAGAGCGATTAATTTTTGGTGAAACAAGCCTCCTGATCCAGCTGAGCACACGAGTGCTACTCCCAGTATAGACATCTCTTTCAGTGACTGCATGAACCTAGGCTAGCATATTTCTGCAATGAACATGGCCAGAACAACCTCCGTAAGTATATGGCTGCAACCATATGAAACTTATGTCCTAGGCAAGCAAAAAAGGTTTACAATGGTGGGCGGAAAGAAAATGTTTATCCATGTGGGCCAGACTAATTATTACACTCTTTGGAATGCAGCCTCTACCAGTTTACTCAGTACTAGACTATGCAAGGCTTGATGAAATTTGTATCAGGACAGAAAAAAACTAAACCTGTATTAATATCAGGCATTAGTAACAATGTACACATCTGCCCTCAAACCAGTATTTTGTGCTTTATTTGTAGAACAGATGCTGCTTTGCTCCAAGAAGAGAGACTCAGATACATCATATAGCTGCACTAAGGACAAGACATTAACATTCTGGGGCTGGCTTTTCCACCCTCTCCTAGAAGCTTTTCTTCATTTTGTCATTAAAACCTCTCTCATTTTTAAGTGACATAAGTTTTATATGATTGCAGCCATGTACTTACGGAGGTTGTTCTGGCCATGTTCATTGCAGAAATACAGTGCTACCTTGCTCACTTTGAAGGTAATTCCAGGCATGACTGCAGTTGCAGCATCCACACACAAATTTCAAGCATTTTACAATACTGTGGCCGCAGAAGTTTTTATGAACAGTTTGCCTGAACCTGTGACTGGTAAACAATTCCTTTATTGTGATTATTTTTCATCTACCTTAGAGTAATTCTTCTCAACTGCTTATCTAACAGAAGAGAATATTTCTCTTCTTGGAAGGAGCCGATACCAGTTACTGCGAAGGTGAAAGTTGAAAAACTAAAGGGATACTGAAGCAATATGACCATTTCTCTCCCACACAAGTTGATTATCCTTCATTTACCATCAGGCTCCTGTGAAATCGACCCACGAGGACACTGAGATCTTTCTGCCTTAGTTCATTTCCATTGAACATGGGTATCAAAGCCACTATCTCAATAATAAAAAACAATCTATTCTAGCCCTTGGAATACTAGAAGCTGTATTTACATTCCTATTTTTCAGCACTTCACCTTTCTTATTTCATTAAAATATCATGCAAGGGAATAATTAAAAAAAAAAACCTATTTTCCCTGTGAAATTATGTCCATTAATCCAAGCTCTTGCAACATGGCCTGTAAGCTTTGAGCCTAGAGACCTCTTTCTTGCTAAGAGCATGGGAGCTGAGAACACACACTGGTCAGCATTGAACAACGTTAACTGTACTTAGTAGTGTAAAGACAGAAACGGTCAAAGTCTCTGTTCAGATCAGAATTAAGGAAAAAGATAAAAATTCTGAGGAGAGTCAGACTTTCAATATCCACATCTGTTTAATAGTCCCAGTGTAAAGAAAAGGTGCAGTGTTAATGATGACTGACACATTTCCCCAGCCTCCCTGCATGTAAATATTGACAAATTTCTGAAATTAACTATCCAAGGAACTGTTTGTGGGTCCTTTGCCCTTCTTTCCTGCTCTTTTTACTTATTTATTTATTTAATTTTTTAAAGGAAGCAAAATATGCCTGTATCAACTTCTGTTGCAAGTCCAGTTGAGTCAGCGAAATTACACCAGGGATTAATTTGCCTAAGTGTGGCTGACCATGTTTTGAGTCATTCTTAACGAATGAATTTTCTTAACTGCTCAGATAAACTTCTGCAGTTTCAGGGGCCTAAAAGCATATGATTTTAGGTGTCATGACCATAGGGTGCTGCAACTGGCTAAAAAGCGAGGTAGAGCTAATTAGGTTGGGGATAGGATTAAATTTAATCTTCAACTAAAGAACTCTCTTGGCTACAGAAATCAGAGCTCATTCACCAAGGAAAACGCAAGGCCTTCCATTTCGCAAAAGCTTTTTTGCAGTGGTATTAGATAATAGGTTGGCATCAATTCCCCTAAGATAAACAATTAGAAATATTTCAGAACTTTAAATAATTAAACAACATGAAGCAAGCAGCAATTCAAGTACGCCAACTGTGAAACACAAGGGACAGATGGAGAACAGAGATTTCAGGTGGAGATTTGTCTATGGAAGTATTAGGAATACCTGCAATTCATAAGCATGAAATCAGAATCACGAAGGGATGGATAAAAAATACAAAGAGGGAATGTTATATGCACAAGTGGTTTTTTTGATCTTGTTTTGCTTTGGTTTTTTTTTTTTTTTTTCAGCATGAAATAGATATTTTTACTTGCAAACTGCATTGACACGCAAGAAACAGCATTCCTATAAAAACCACCCAGTTAATTACGCTAGTATTTCTAGCATATAGCACAGTGACAAAATGAACAGTGATTCCCACAAGTGCTGGCATACAGAAGAATGCCTAGCCTCAGGGTTGATGTGTTAGGCCCTTTCAGTGCTAAGTGACAGTAATGTATAAGAGTCACAATCTCACATCCATTAGGATAAAAATGTCAGAAATAAATCAACTGATTTGAAAACCTTTTTTATAGTAGGAAAACAGCACAGTTGGGTCCTGGAAATGGATTTTGAAGTTGCACTTAGGAAGCTGAAAAGTGACGAATAAGCCAGCAAAATAATTTCTAAAAGGTAAAAAGAGGAAAATCCACTGCCTAGACAATCAAATGGTGAGCTGTATGTTTTGCAATGCTTTCCATTACGCCATGTTAATAAAGTTCATTTTGCATTCTCACAACAGTCTTTTTTCATTACATATCTTCTCAAAGATAAGAGAGACTTGCACATGAACTGTTCTTGTTAAAGCATTTAACGTGCCAATTAAAACAGTATGAATAACAGAACATTCTGTAACTCAAAGTGACTGAAATCCCAAATGACTGTGTGACTTCAAATTCTCATTCTCTGGTTCTTGCTTTTTTTTTTCCCCCTACACTATTCTTCCTTCTTCTCTGCAATCCTTTCCTGCTCTAAATTTAATTTAAAACCAGTCTGCCAACCTTCTGTATCATATCAATTGTCAATAAGGTTTTTCTTACTGCAAATCAGTGTGTCAGATGAAACTCTTCAAGAAAAAAAATGTCTGTTGGTATTTAGAAGAGTACTAAATATATGTGGCCACGTGACAAGCATGCAGTATTGTAGAGGCATCAAAGAACTATTTTGTTGATTCTTACATAATTATCAGCTGTAAAAAAATAAATTGTCAATTGCTGACAATACACTATTCAGCACTCTCAGTCCCATAACCCAGTGGATTGTAGATGAATTGTAATAAAAAAGGGTATAGAATTCAATCATGAGATGAATGAATTAGGACCCTTCACCCAGAGTATGTGGAATAAACTCAGCAAGCAGTTACTGGGACAAAAAGTATTCTCTTGTTCTTTGGGAAGAAATGCCTAATAAAGGTTTATCTGAAGCAGTAAAGATGATCTACCTAGATGCTCAAGTCTTCCAGAGCATTTTATGATAGAAGACATCTGTAAAGACTGAAGGAAGAACATTACCACAATTCCCTGCTGAGGATATTAATGAGATAAGTAAAATAATAAAATAAAACCAGGACCAATTATGCTATGCTACTACAATTACAAATATTCTTGTATCCTTGAAGCAGGAATTAATTCCAATATTTTTCCCTAATATATTAAAAACAGGAAGCCAGACTTTGCAATTAATCTGTTTCCATAGTTCAGCATAACATGCTACATCTACTTGTCATCTGTCATCTTTTTTCCTCTTCTTTACTGTGGAAAATATTTTGTCTTCTCTTTTCTGAATAATTCTGCCATCCTATTACACCTTCCTTACTGTGACCCATAACTGCATCCTTCCACCTGCCTTTATACTTGTGTGCTTTCTATAATGACTCCAATTCTTGAATCAAACACAGCACCTCTCAGCATCTCCAGCTACAGAAAGTGCTCTCATTCATCAGATTTCCCATTCTTTCTGCCTCTCTGGTTACCACCTCAGTGCCAGGTATCTGTAGTGAGGCCAGAGCCTTTCTTCAAATTGCCAGCTTTACTAGCATCGCAAGCCACTCTGATAAAGACCATGATTCATTTCCGACCTTTAGAATAGGTGTTGAGGAAGAAACCATGACAATTACAGTCCCAATGCTACAATTCAAGACTAATTTAAGAAATTAAAATGGGGGAAACGTATTTGTTTTTAAATCGCAATTAATTATTACCTTAATAGTTTGCAAAATGGCCTTCTTAGAACTTATAGCCTGGCTCTGCACCAAACCATACAATAATGAATACCAGAGGGTTTGAGTAACAAAGTAAAACTGAGAAAGGCAAAAATTGTTGAAGAAGTCCTCCGTACAAATATTAACAGGATTGAAATGTAACAAGTATACAGACACCAAAGAAAACCTACAAACAGAATAAGAAATGATTTGCTAACCTTTACTCTGAGTCTTATTTTTGTTGCTGTCTTTCTGAAAGAAGTCCATACTACAGCTCCATTCTGCACTCTGTTTGTGTGGGAAGAGAGAGACGAGTTCCTCTCATCGACAAGAAATGCAACTGCAATACCAAAACAAGAATAGCTGAGTATTCATACAGATCCATATATCTAGACAGACCATTACTGAAAACAATGAATCAACCTTCAAAATGCAAGTAAGTATTTAGAATGTAAGGGCTCAACACTGATCATTTAAACTATCTTTGCTAACAAAACTGTGAGCAATACAAATGCGTAGCTTGTCCTGCCAATGGTTTGCCTGAGTCATGATTCCTCTCATCTGAGGGTAGGCACCTTCCACATACAATAAAAACAAGTGTCACACCAGTCACGCAGTGTGACTATAAATCTGGTGGAAACTATTAGTGCATTTGAATGGTGAATTATTTAACACTGGTAAGCTGAATTTTATCATCTCTTGGTTTCATTTATTGCTTCTCAGTAAAGAGAAGTTGGCTGTCATTTAAGGCTCTTCAAAGGAGCAAGAATAAATGCTGAAATGCTATTGCCTTCTGCCTGTTGCTAGGATTAACAGCAAAAGGCAGCAGCCATCAACTGTCCAATAATTCAGGAAGAATTGCTGAAGGGTCAGTAAAGTTCTAGAAATTTCAGTTGAAGGCTAAAGAAAATTTTCTTCTTTATCCAAACTTCTCCAAAACTAAACTCACGACTACCCTCCCAATTTTCACTGTTTGAACATGAAAGTCAGTAAACCACGTGCCAAATGTCATGTACATCACTAGCATATTCTGGAAAGTATATTCTAGAAAGCACTCAGTGATACTGTTGCGATGAGTACTGTATAAAAAATAACATGTAATATCATTTACTTTTAAATAAATGCTAAGCAAGTAAAAGCTTGCATGAAGAGGATTTTCTTGTTTTTTTCTTTTTTCATTTTTTTTTTTTTTTTTGCTTTTTTATCCCCAGAAAGAAGCAATAAATGATAAAAACAAATGAGATGAAAATGAACTAGCATTTTCTAGTACGGAGAGCTGCCTTTTTTCTTGATCTCCTAGAGTTACATAGGTCACTGTTCAGTAAAGAGCAACTTCTGGGAGAAGTGCTAAGCACCAGTAAGTTCCTGTAAGAGATTGATGCACTACTCTCCACCCTTTTGTCCACACAGGAATAAGAAGGCAGTGAATGGGGGAAACTGATTCCATATTCACCAATAATGGTTTTCAGAATATGGGTACCAAGAAAACATTTAATAACATGAATGTAGGCTTAGATATGTTAGCTTGAGACAGCAAATACCAGGATGAATTAACTTTCTGTGCAAAAGGCCTCTTTTTTGTTGGGTTTCTTTGATAGCATATAGCAAGACTTCTCTGAAGAAAGACTGTCTACAAGCAATGACCATGCATACTTTGCAGCTACCTGAATTCACAGCAAGTAAATGCACAGAATATTTACAGAGATGTAAATGAGCAAAAAAAAACAAAAACAAAAACAACTCAACAAAAAAAACAACATTAGAGAAAACATCATAATATTAGCAAAGTCACATCAGTGTAAATGGTTCCCAAGCCTGATAAAAATATAACATCTAAATTAAACAATCTTATTGGTGAATCTGAAAAGAGTGCAAGCAAAAATTGATAAAAAAAGATCTTAAATGATACCTTAGTGAAGTTGCAGCAAGATACCTTGTCTCTTCAGGTACCTGTAAAAGTAAAAATCATAAAAGATTTGAAACTAGCATTTCAAATGGTAACTAAATCTATGAGTAACTGTCTATGCAATAGAAATAAATTCACACAAGAAAGAAAAAAAGAAAAGAAACAACAAGAAGCCCATCAAGACAAGGCATCAAGACATACAACAGAAGCTGGCTGCAAAAGCTGTTTTGTAGGGATTCAACAATCAACTGTAAATAAGAAATATTGAGTTTTCTAGAAGATGTTAGTAGATGGGGGTTTGAAAACTTAATGAGGAAGGAATTAACTGATGAATGAAAATTAAAAGATTATTAACAAACAAATAATTAGTCATCAAGCTAGATTCCCCCAGAAGATTTTCTTTCTAAAAGCAGGTCAAACCGAAAACATGCAGAGCTCTGCAACAGTTTAAGAGATGAAAGATTTCTCAGCGGAAAAGCCTTACACAAAAAAGCGTTCACCCAATGGATTGCACTGTGCGCTGTTATTCGGCAAACTCATCAGCCAAAGAAAACCAAACTACCACACCCCCATGGGAGCACTGGGGCAGGGGCAGCTCAGAATCCAGACAAGAAAAAAGCAAAAGGTACCAGTGAAGTTTCCCTGACCCTGGCCTAGCCCTCTTCTCCTGTGCAGAAGAAAGAAAAGGGTCAGAAAAGAGGGAGGCCTCAGCAAAGGGCAGGTACACAACAGCAGTTGCTCCTTACAAACAACTCAGAAGATTAACCCCCACTCATAGACCTGCACCAGCTTGGGACTGGACCCTGAGGCCAGCCAGGAACAGGGGACAAAACATCAAATCTCATGCTTGCTTGAAGCTTTAGCCTAGTGCTAAAGTAACAGTAAATTGGTCCTAATTACGTGTAGACAAGTAGTAATTGCATCTGGCCAAGCCCAAGGGACATACATGTTTATAAAACTAAGGAACATAAAATAGCAGAAAGGTAAACATTTTTTCCTGATTAGGGTAATGGCCAATAAATCTAAATAGCTTTCATAAATATCTTTTTGTTGTGAAAGGAAAGTGGAGTTCTAAACATGAGTCATATATAGTCACAGTTGTCATTGCTTCTTTGTTTAATCACCTCTCCCAGCCTTACAATAATATTCTTTTGAGTTTTCTAAATAAACACTTCTATTTGCTTTTACCCATCATTGGCTTTGTGAGTTTTGCTTTACAAAATAAAAGGCAATGACTGATCGTAATCAGCTTATAGACAAGCTCATCCCATCTCATCCCTTCTGCAAGAAGAGGCTGATACGTTCCTTCTAGAAAACCATTGGTACCACTGCACTAACTCAACTAGCTGCAGAGGAAGAACCTGCTCTCCCAGGAGCTGCATTGGCTGCTGAGAGCAAGGGAAGAACCCAAGGCAGTTGCAAGGCTACTTGGACTGGAGCTCAGGAGGCACCGGCCAACAGTTCAATGCACTACTGAGCGGTGATTGTAAGCAGCATTCCTCAAAAACTGGTACGGGGCTGGCACTGACTAACGCCTTCAGCAACAACCTGGACAACAGGCAGGTGTGCCTTCAGGTGACAGCAATCTGGAGGCAGTTTTTCACATGCAGGAAGGCTACAGTCATTTAGAAGGACCCCAGACACAGATACCTCCCTATCAACAACATACTGGATAAAATTCTTTGCAGATAGGTCCCATGTCAAGATGTTTTCGCTGGCCCCTACTGGTATAATTTCCTTCCCACACACCCTGAACCCGTGGACATTAATCCCATGGATGTTTGTAACGTAATTAAAAAAAACACTCTTCAGCCACAGTAGGTAAAGAAACTAGTGATATAGTTGCCAGGGACAAAATCGTGAACCATTTCACAGCAGAGATAAAGTTTCAGGTAGAAGGAAGAGAAGAAAACCATATTACAGACAGCATTAATCCAGTAGGACATTCCCCTGGAACAGGCTGAGCACTAGAAATTCCAGACTTGGGCATAATTTCAGAAAGTGAAGGAGATAAGAGCAATGAATGGACAGGTCCTTAGTTTTGATTTCTTGCTGGCAGCAAAAAAGGATTCAAAAGACAGTGCTTCTCAAAGCCAAGAAATCACAGGAACACATGAAGGATTACAACATTTACACTGCCGAGGCCAGTGGATGAAACAAGTCCCGACCATTTCAACAGTAAAGCATTTTAAAGGACAGATAAAGTTTCTCTCTGCGCAGCCTCAACTGCCAATGGCTAGCTTTACACAAGTTCCTTCAATCGCTCTAATCCCATTTATCATTCTATTCTCTTTAAGACAATCAGCTTGGAAACAATTAGTCTGTTCACAAAGAACTTCGAAAAATATCAGACTCTCTGTACAATAATAAACAGTATCTCTCAGTGAGGCCACCAACCATTAATGCCAATGTAATAACTGCCAAAAAACAATTTTTTTTTTCCAGTTGACAACGTCAAAGAAGAAAGCCAGACAATGAAAGAGGTAGTTTCACAACAAAAACCACGAATGAACTTTATAATTTACCAGAATCAAGCTGCTGAAAGCTGCAGTTTACTGTTTCAATCATGAGCTGGTTAAAACAATTAAACCAGACTCAACAGCAGATGCTGAAAACGCACACACAAATCCAGACCAACAGCTGCTGCCTGCCTTATTTATCTGTGGGGATCACTACCACTCTCTACATACTTCTCTCCCTGGTCACACTTCTCTGCACCCATCAAGCCAGAGACATCTCAAAGCTGATAAAGCCTAACTATAACAAGCAAGCTCTCAACACCACATTTACGTCCTAGATTTAACGTAAACAGCAACAGACAAAGCGCAGCTGACCCAAGAGACTTCTAGGAACCCCTCCGGTTTGCAGAAACATTACAACACATTAGTTTAGCCAAAGGTGGAAGCATTGCTAGTGTTTAACTCATCAAAACAGTTCTCAAATACGATAGTTGAATGGCTGGGTTAAGTGTGTTGTCAATGCTCTCAAGCTGACAAAGGAACCAACTGAAGCCTTGAACTGAAGTTGTTTACTGTTACAAGAGAAAAAATCTAGATGCTATGGGAGACAAACTGTCACAACAACAGAGGGACTAAGAAGTTCAGATGCTAAAAATCTTTGCAGGAGTCTTTTGACTACAGTTCAGAACGATCCAGCAAATTCTGCACAGAGACCAAAGTAAATCCATAAACTTACCCAATAATCTACGCAGCGGGTACATCAGAAACTAAGAGGTATCATTGGAAAAAGAAGGAAGAACAATGTTACCGAGAAGACATATGTGGAAAACATTAAAGTCATCTCGTGCCAAACTGAGCAGACAATGCAGTTCTCCATTCATTTAAGGTATATGAACACCGGGTCACAGTGCCTGTGTGAGGCCCAGGAAATGATGAAGACAGAACAATCTGGATTTTCTCATGTGTACTGACAGACTGCCTTCACTGTGACTCCAGGACTCAGATCAATGCTACCATTCTCAAATCCTATGCAAATCAAAGAGAAAGTTCAAACACCTTTAAAAGGATTAAAAGGTAAAAGCTACCCTTCCAAATTTCTCTGGATGCTCTCCACTTGGTGCTTGGATATGGAGCAGAAACAGTATCAAGGGAAAACATGTTCAGTAAGGCCAGCAGGGAAAGCTTCCAGCTTCAAAAGAGAAACCTGGACTTTGTGCAGATCCCACAGCCACTCAGTAAGCATACGCTGTATCTTTGTTTTTGGGTTCTGTGGTAGGATTACAAACACTGCAAACACTAGCAGGTCAAACTGGAGTATAAATTATTTCCTGACTGGTCTTTAAGCTTAGGACTTCCCTTGGAAAGCAAAGCTTCATCTGAGCTTGATTGTAAGGGCAATGGAGATGCATTCTAGGTCATTTCAAACAAAAAACAAAGCTGCTCTCCTAAACAGAACTTATGATAATTCTACAGAGAGTTACATTGATTTTTTTATTTTATTTTTTTAAGTACTGCCTGGAAAGGAAAAGGAGATGTTTTATTTATTTTTCTTACGGGAAACTCTATCTGGTCTGTATTTTAGTTCAATTTCAAATCATCATCACAAAGTAGACTGCCGCATCTCCATATGAATCAGCAATGAAGCCAGTTAATGCTAGAAGAAGTTGAAGTCTGAGAAACAGCATCAAAAATGAATAAAATATTCAGCATTCTCAGTGCACGTTAGGGAAATACATAGAAGCCGTCCAACAACGTTCTTGCCATAAAGACATGACCCAAATTACAAAACGCTTTCCTTAAGTTGGTCGTCTCACTCTATGACAAGCAAATTCAGCAACAAAAAAACGCACACATTATAATTTACAGGAAGAAGTTTTGTTCCAAGAATTCAGATAAGCAATGTGATACTCAAGCCTACAAAAGGACACAGAGATTTACAGTTTCAAATAAGTCCCTAAGACATATTGAAGTTGCTTTTTTTTTTTTTTTTTTTGCATAATCCTTTTTAAAATCCATGCCACTAGAATATTCTCACACTGTTGCAGAAACGTGCGAAAGCAGAGATTGTTAAAAATCACACTGAGCAAGTACATGTAATCAGCACTGAAGACTTCATTCTTGGGGTAGTTCTCAAGCACATTACAAGCCAGCACTCTCCTTCTGCATGCCACTATTCTACAAAAATTCTTGTTACTATGATGATCAGTGGAAGACTAAAGTTCTACCAGTCCGAGAGCAGACACTTCTTACAGATCACTGTTATTCTAAAAAAGCTGCCAATTTCTCACATATCATTTAATATCTGAAGCAATTTAATTGCTGTACACAGATAAACTGAGTCCTCTTCTTGAAGCACTCAGTGGTTTTCACAACAAAGGGAGGAAATCCATATGGCTACTTTTTTTATGTCCTTTTCCCATAGCAAACCCTTACTACCTGATAGTAGAAATGACACAATCACTCTCTAAGGAGAGGGGAGAAGCCTTTGACATTGGTAGAGCACAGAGAAGACAGTAGCTCTGCTCCACTGAACAGGATGGAAAACGATGCCACATGATCTTTTCCTTGGTTTCTTTCATAACACG